CATTAGAGATGTCCCGATCTGATCACGTGATCGGGGATCGGAGCCGATCACGTGATTTTCAAAAGATCGGAATGGGAGGAAAAAAAATCGGGGATTGGGATTTTTTTTTTTTTTTTAAATACTTTTTTTTAATTTTGTATTCAATGTTACAAAACAAAAATGACCATGTTCAAGTCTTAAAGTCATCCTGAGGCCTTAGTTTTGGTTTTAAATGACACAACATCATGTATGTGTTGCTTCTTTGGGGCTTGTTTTCATAGACCTATTTCTCTCAAATCTGGCAACAGAGTGGGCAGGGCGCAGTGTCTAATTGTAGCAGTAAGCTAACGAGCACTGATAAGCTTTATTTTGTTTTGATCCAATGCTGCACAACTGATGTGATCCAATGCTGCTGTGAAAGAAAGAAGCTATATCCATGTTGGATAGAATATCCAATTTAAATAAAAAAATAACCTTAAGGGACAACTTGAATGCTTTTTTCTGTCTAAATGCATTGCATAAAGATCGGATCGGGAAAAATCGGTATCGGCAAATTGTCAAAATCAAATGATCGGAAGCAAAAAAAGGTGATCGGGACATCCCTAGTTTTATATTTTATATTGTTGCATCTACTCAGTTGTCTTGTGTCTTATCTGTCAGAGAGAAACCATTATTTATTTTATTATCATACATTTTACCTCCTTGTTAATCATTAACCTGATACAATGTTATATTTTGTTGCATTTACCTTTAAAGTGCTTAGAAAATAATCTGAGGGGAATTTCTTTTCTTTTTTTTTACAACTTGTGATGTGTCATTTTGTAAAGCACTTTGAGCTGCATGTGTTGTATGAAATGTTGTATATAAATAAAGCTTTATTCTTATTATATGTCCAACAGGGAGCTGGATGTACTCTAGCCTCTTACCTTAGTGATCTGCGGGGAGGAGAGAGGCCCGTTCAGATTGGCCCTCTTAATCTGCTCAGACGACACACTGTTCTTCCCAGGATGCAACATGCCCTGCTTGGTACTCTGTCCATCTGCATTCTTCTTTGTTTCAGGGATCCTTTAATGTACAAATAAAGACTCCGGTTTATTTCATGAAGTAACCAGACAACAGCTTGTTTGATCTCTTGCAGCCCTCTACATCCTCTTACCTCAGGTAGAAAAGCACGTAGGCCTGTTGGTTCAACACCACCTTGATGTTACTAGAGTGCGCCATTGAATCATTCATTTGGTACCATTGCCCGTTGCTTGCCTAGGAGGAAATAAGAAAGGTATTCCTTTAAAATAAAGCAGGCTTTGAAATTGAATCTTTTTAAGTCAAACCATTTAAAAAGTTGAGAAACACAGGAAGCAGAACACAGGCTCGGAGAAATCAATTAGTTTCCTTTGAGATCAGATTAGAATTTGTATGCACAACACAGATACAAATCAATGGACACGATATATACGATGAAACAATGAGAATTCGTAAACTGTCAAATTTCCCAATACAGTTTATAGCGAGGTTATTTTTTTTGTCATTTTTCTGGCTGTATTAGGCCATTGATGTACAATAAAAGGAAAGACTGTTTTGTGGCAATACTGGACATGTATACTGTGATTTAGAGATTTTCCAGGTAATTTGTGGGATTATTCAAAAGCAGATTGCTTATATCAGCTGTTTATCAATTGAATTACCCAGAAATATATAATATTTTGTAGTATATTGATAATTGTGTATAACATGTGTGACCCACTCTCTCAAAATCAGTCGGAAGTCGCAACGGCTCATTTAAAAAATAAACGTGGATTTGCGTAAAAAAATAGTTTTTCGGGGTTCGGGTGTTTTGTTTGATTTTAAATAAACAAAGTCTTGGCTTTCAGAATATGAAACTTTTATTTCCAAAATCACAAGATAAATACATTTTTGAAGCTTGTAAAGGGAAGATGGCACCTCTCACTCGCCACTCTGCTGTTCCGCAGCGCTGCTTCCCTCCCTTCCGACTGAAATTATGAATGTAAGGCGTAGAGTAATCATAAATAACACGGCAGGGTCCGTTACAGTTTGTTTTCATCTGATTTCAAATAAACAAAGTCTTGGATTTCAGAATATTAAACTTGTTTTGGCAAATTCAGATGATAAGTACAACTTTGAAGCTTGTAACGGCATAAATACAAGCGGAGAACGGAGTAACTTGACGTCACAGCAGGCATAACAACAGCCGGACTTTCTCGTGAGGGTTTCCCCCGGGAAACAAACGCAATACACACAAACGCAAAATTACACAAACACACACACACGTATACACACACACACACACACACACTCGCGAGCTTCTCCCAGACCAGCAATCCAAACGAAAATATCTTCCCTCCGTAGTATTTTGATCATTTGCTCCGCTAATAATCAATCAGATCGATGGATTCCAGAGAAGAGAAAACTTTGAAGGACTTTTTCTCAAAATGATGACTCGGTGACAGTCATTATATAATGTGACATATTTCGCTTAATATTTGGAGTACAAAAACAATCCTGATATCATTAGAAAGCTAGGAATATCCTCTTTCCAGCAGTGTATACAACTCAAAATGTGTCTTCGGGTCAATGCGACTGATTTCGATAGAGCAGGTCACAAATGTT